CAGGAATTAACTGCAGGTAAGGGAAGGGCAGAGGATGTCAGGTTGGGTGGGACTCACTCTCAGTTATACTGGTGTGGAGCATTTTCTTCCGCTGACTCTTCTGTGGCATGTTTTTAAACACCCTATTGCAACACGAGTGGTCTGAAAAGCCAGCAGTAAAACCACAGTTGACTTGAATGTGATTAGCAGCACGTGTGTTGCTAAAGGTAAACAAAGTCTGTTTTGCATTAAAGCATAGAATCATAGAATCATGGAACGGTTTGAGTTGGAAGGGACCTTAAAGCCCATCTAGTTCAAACCCCCTGCCATGGGCAGGGACACCTTCCACTAGACCAGGTCGCTCCAAGCCTCATCCAGCCTGGCCTTGGACACTTCCAGGGATGGGGCATCCACCGCTTCTCTGGGCAACCTGTGCCAGTGCTTCCCCAACCCCTCCGTAAAGAACCTCTTCCTGATATCCAATCTAAACCTCCCCACTTTCAATTTAAACCAGTTACCCCTTGTCCTGTCACTACAGGCCCTTGAAAAAAGTCCACCCCAGCTTCCTTGTAGCCCCTTCAGGTACTGAAGTAGTTCCCACCTCTTGCTGTGGGACTCAAGAACTATTTGAATCTTCTTCTGGCAGGTAGAAATGAAGAAACCACACCACTCTGAGTGTCTGTAAAAGTTTAATGTGATAAACTACCTTCAAAATTCTACAGCATCTGGTTTTTCTTCAGACCCCATAAAATGCCAGCAATGTGTTCTCTTTCCCAACAGGTGAACAGGAAGAATGTTGTACATTTTTCATATAAACACTTCCTTTTAGCGTTGGTATTACTAAGTGTCACCAGTCAAAATCAACGTTCTTACTCCTGACAGCACTGGAATTTAACAGAAACAAAGTCTCTCGAGACACAGGGTAACAGTTCGGGAATCGTGCTGAGCAGTTCAGGACCTCACTGGGTGACCTCACCTTCTGCCATCAATAGCTGAGCATCCCACTGCTGCACGGCCTCTCCACCTGGCTGGGAAAGCTGTCCTGGTTTGACATCGCTGCAGTCACTGCCAAGTTTTGTGTTGCAAAGCAGATTCGACGAGTGCAGCTGATGCGCAGCTTTTTGGGATACTCTGAGACGCAAGTTGATGGTACCTGCGAGCGTGTTACCTGCGCAATAGTAAATGATGGGGAATCAAGGAAGTTTCCCCACCCACCCCCCATTTTGGTAGTTTTCAAAGATCGGTGGAATGGATTTTCACGTCACATTACGCTTGACAGTACGCTCTGACTATCATTTATGAAGGCAGACTGATTCTTGAAGCATTCAGGCAAAATACTGAAACTCAGTGCAAGAGAAAAGGAAGAGCCGATCGCTCTGCGGCTCCGCAGTCGGGCCTGAAGAAGCCCGTGTGGAAAACCAGATGGACTCCAACTGAAAAAAACTTGCCAGAAGCAGTAGCAAGGGGTTTACATCAGGTGAGATTACAAGTGCTTTGGAAGGTTCGGCTGTAGATTCCGAGCTGCCACCTCTTTTCCTTCTCAATGCATCTTTACCCCATGCGCTGCCATGACCCTTTTTTCAACCTAGGCTTGGATGACATTTGTGCTACCTTCCAGGAAAGGAATTGTTTTTTGCAGCTCCCTCTCGTATTCATTTAGAGGAAAGCATTAAATACTCCCTCTGACCAAGCGCGCAGGCACGCTGAAGTGCAGCCACTTCACGTTCCCGGCCAAAGAAAGAACAAAAATACCCACAGTAAGCAAAAGCAGATGGCTTCAGTGGCAGGAAATGAATGAGCCAGAGTGCAGGTAAAACGGCTCTGGGAACACATCGGGGAGGTTTGCAATGACAGGTTCTTTGTTATCGGGGGCCTCCCCACAGCCAGCCAGATGTCTTCTGTTGGGGAAGGAGACAGAGATGCTCTTCCTTTTCCTCCCCCTTTAACTGATGGCTGTTTAAGTTACCGCTAATGGAAGCAGAAGCCTGTTTTCCCCCTTGCTCTCTGATGCTTTTGGAAGCAGAAGAGAGTTGGCGAAGGGGTATGCTGATAGGGAAGAACAGGCCCAGAGCTGGCCGTTACCTCCCCACGACCCTCATTTCAAAGAACAGGGAGGTCAGCGCTGCTAATTGCACTTGAGAGGATTTACCACTCGATCGCATTCATTTGGTGAGACAAAATCATTCTTTAGCCTAAAAGCTGGAAAATTGTTATCAGAAGAACGTATTGAGACATTTTCAGTGTGAGAAGATGACTTGGTGGGTCTGGCTCCTTGTAACAGTGCTGAAGTTAAACCGAGGTTTTAAATATTTTTACAGAGGGGAGAGCAGGAGGTGGGAGAGAAGGGAGAACTGCCTCTGCTTCTCAGACAGAACAGGTTTGCGGCAGGAGTGACGATAACCCCCTCCCTGCCCTCGTAAAAGGTTACCACAGAACACCAACAGGCCGTAATTAATTACAGGTATTAGATGTGCCTCTGTCACTCGGTATAAGAAGGATTCTCACATTACACAGAGGTTGCACTGGAAGAAAAACAACCTGAACCCAGTTCCTGGACACAGCGCTCCAGATTTGAAATCTTTTCTGTACGTGGATTTCACCTGAGAATTCAAATGAATTCACTTTTGGAAGAGATTCGTAATTCCCATTGTTCAAATGAAGTAAGGTACACGAAACTTAAATTTGCAAACCATTATTAACCTTAGGAAACTATTTTCCAAAAGTAACAAAGAACAGCTTATATAAGCTTTTATCTGACCTCTGCTTCTTAAATAAAAAAACATGTTTTCAGGGAAATGTGCCTTGGAAGTAACTCCCCCCTCCCCCCCGCCTCGATTTTTCTCTCTGGTTCTTGTAAAACATTAGGTCAGTGGGTTCATTTTATTTTTGTTTGTTTAAAGTGGGTGAAAGTTTCCTTCTCGAGCTATTACACTTGTGTGATTTAAAAAACAATATTACAACAATCTTTGTTTAAGAAATACAAGAACAGATGGAAATGTCAAAAGACTATCAAAATTCATACCAAAGGAAATGGCGTTAATCACTGCAAAAAGCCCAAATAACTCAACAGCATTAAGAACCGAATGAATACGAAATGTATTCAACAGCACCATGACAGGACTGCGAGAGTTGGGCTTGTTCAGCCTGGAGAAGAGAAGGCTCCAGGGAGACCTTATAGCATCTTCCAGTGCCTGAAGGGGCTACAAGGAAGCTGGGGGGGACTTTTTACAAGGGCCTGTAGTGACAGGACAAGGGGTAACAGGTTTAAATTGAAAGTGGGGAGGTTTAGATTGGGTATCAGGAAGAAGTTCTTCCCGGAGAGGGTGGGGAGGCACTGGGACAGGTTGCCCAGAGAAGCTGCGGATGCCCCCTCCCTGGAAGTGTCCAAGGCCAGGCTGGATGAGGCTGGGAGCAACCTGGTCTAGTGGAAGGTGTCCCTGCCCATGGCAGGGGGTTGGAACTAGATGGTCTTTAAGGTCCCTTCCAACCCAAACCAGTCTGTGATTCTATGACTGCTGATTTTTCTCATTGCCTGGCAAATGAACTCCAACACAGATGTGTATTTCACAATTATCTTTTTGTTCTGGCTTCCAGCCTCTGTTTGCCATGGTGCTGTTACAGCTCATGCAGACTTTGTGTGCACTCACGGCACAACCAGCACTTCTTGCAAACGGAGGAGACGTGTTCGTTGCCCACTGAAGTATGCGATCGCTTGTGCAGGTAAGCATACAGATCTGAAGAGAAGTATGACCTGCGGAGCGTGTATTTGTACCTTCTATTCTAAGCAGTATTAACATTGATTTCAGTATCCTGAGGCATTAAAAACCATAGTGCCAATCACTCGTTTGAGCTTGTGTGGATTGCTGTGTAAGTGTAAAAAGAATTCAGTGAAGTATTTTTCAAGGCACTGTTTCTGCATTCAGCGGGGTGTGAGTGCCCTCCTGGAAAGCACGCTACAGGTGGGAAGTCAGGCAGGAAAATATGCAACAAAAACTTTGAACTGCTTGTTTAAAAGATAATCTATTATAATTTTCCCATCTGTGTCACTGATAAGATTTAGGGGTTTTTAACACACTTCTGAGAATATTCAGAAACATTTATCCATCTTATATTGTACCTCTAATGCAACGTATTTTCTACCTTAAGACTGTAAGTTTTTGCCACGTGAATTCTTCTGGCAGAACACCCTATCAGGATAAAAATATATTCATAGAATCATGGAAAGGTTTGGGTTGGAAGGGACCTTAAAGATCATCAACCCCCCTGCCATGGGCAGGGACACCTTCCACTAGACCAGGTTGCTCCAAGCCTCATCCAGCCTGGCCTTGGACACTTCCAGGGATGGGGCATCCACAGATTCTCTGGGCAACCTGTCCCAGTGCTCCCCACCCTCTCTGGGAAGAACTTCTTCCTGATATCCAATCTAAACCTCCCCACTTTCAATTTAAACCCATTACCCCTTGTCCTGTCATGCGTGGTATAATGATGGTTAAGAGCTCGCTCTTTCCTATCACTAGGACGATTTTCCAGAATGAAACTTGAAAGTACATCATTCATATTCTAGTCACTTAATGTGCTCTTTAATTTTGTATTGGTCCCCCCCTCCTCCCCGATTAAATACCATCCTAATAGTTTCAAGAAGTTTTTGATGTCATGAAAGTGACATCGGTATTCGTGGGTCAAACACAAAGAAAACACCTGACACGAAGTATGAGCAGTAATAAAAAGTTAGCATGCTAATTTCTTTTTACAGTTAGAGATGGCTCCTTCTGGCAAGAGGGGCCAAGCCCTCCTATCCCCATCTCAGGAAATCATCTCACTATGATGAGCATATCAGGTCTGTAGGTTCAACCGCAGCAATTAAGTTTTCATCTAAGTAATTCTAATCAGACTGCTCATCAGAGTAGTTCTACAACCTCAGGTGTGCAGGACGTGAGGCTTGCAGCCCACTTTGGGACTGCCACTGGGGCCGTTATTAAGAGTATGATCTATTTCCTGTTAGATAAGAACACTTGTGCAGGTTATCATTACAAAAGAAACAGATTACAGTGTAGTGAAACTTACCTCTAGACAGGTATCTTACTCTTTTCCTGCACAACACTTGGCATTTTTAATCAACGTGTACATAAATGAAAAGAAAAAAAGGAGATTATCATATTGTCCTTGGTACGTCTCTTTCAGAACCTCCTGATGATAGTCCACAAGGAAATAATAAATCGCTTCTATTGTGGAAAGGTAAGTATCTGGCTTTCCCTTCTGGTGACGCCAAAAGCAAGTTTTCCTCGTCTTCAACTCAATTTGCAGCAACCCTGTCAAAACCAGAAAAAAGCAGCTAGGTGAGACAGCGTGGATTGGTGGATGGGGTGCCAAACAAGCCTTTAGTTTTGTTTCCTGACTTTGCTGCCAGCCTGCTGGCTGCTGCATGCAAATAATTCCTCCACTTTTCACCTGTAAAATGGAGGCAGTAACGATCCTCCTTTGTGAACCGCTTTGAAATTCGATGGACAAAGTGCTGTGAATTCTGGGTTGCAACCCTTGTATTTGCAATTAAACCCTGCAGGCTACCCTTGCGTTCATACGGCCTCACAGCCCGCGGTAAACCGCAGCGCCTCTTCCGACGGGGAGAGTGAAACCCACACCTACCGAGACCCGTCATCAAACTTCACCTCTGGCAAAGCCAACAGCCTTCAAGTGCCAGCCAGGATCACTCGGTTAGTCTGGCTGAACTGAGGAGTATTTGCTAAGAGCCAGACACTTCTCAGTTCTGCTTGTAAGTAACTGAAATCTCACTGGGATTACTCAGGAGTAAGTAGGCCAGAACCTGGCCCTTAATTTTATTAGAGACTAAAAGCATTCCCACTGGAGATGAAAGAAAGAAATGTATGGCATATGGAAATCTTATCTACTGTAGTTTCTGTAACTCTTTTACGAGTCCGATGAATTTTAAACATGTACCTTGATTTTTATGTTCCTTAAGATGCACAAACTACTCAAAACTAAAACCACTTTCATGAGTAATCACTTTGTAAGCAAGAAGGATAGCTGGACTCTCAAGAGTAGCGTATACACTTGTCAGTACTGGGATCAGCCTGTAAAATTATCTCTTTCTAAATGCTAAAATTAGAGACCAAGTGTGTCATGGAATGGCTTAGTACATGTAATAGTATAAATAACAACACGGTTTAAGAATTGCTTGGAAGTTATGGATGGAGACATTGCCGTAAGGTCCAAATTCAGGGGCGCCAGCTGGCCGATAGCCCGGCACTTGTAATTCTATACTTTCTCCCTTCAAACTGCTTCGTTCCTTCTAGTGTAATTGCTAGGTGGGCTGCGTTGTTGGCTTTGCAGGTAGTAACGTTTGGTATCTTGCATCGTAGAAGAAACATCTCCCACAGCATTGAAAAAAATTAACAGGAGATTCCATCAGTGAATTTAAATGTTACTGTTGGCATTTCAGCACTAAACATTCAAAACAACGTAGTCCAGTTACCTCTAATAATGCCACACGTATTCAGAACAGCAACAGGAAACTGCATTAAGCCTGTTTCCCGCAAGAGGTTTCAATACTTGATTTCTCAGCCCTCACCAAAGTGAAAACTTTCACCAAATTCAGAGATATTTCCATCCTAACAGCACTGAGCTAAACTGAGGGGACGATTCTGCCAACGTAAGCTCCCACCTATCCGTGGTCTGACTACAAACAAAAGTTCATGGAAGGCAAGGCCACTGCCACTGCCGAGCTTACTGCAAAGGCAGGATCAGTGGATTTCCAACACAGCATTCCAGAAGTTCCGTAACACAACTGATCTAGGTTTGTTTTCTAGGAACGTGTAGACATGCTGCTTGAGGACACGGTCTAGTGGGTATGGGAGTGTTGGGGTGATGGTTGGACTGGATGATCTTGTAGGTCTTTTCCAACCTCAGTGATTCTGTGATTCTGAAGATATATTACACCACTTTTCCAAGAAGATATAGTATTTTTTATCCAAGCTTTCTAGGCTATGTTTTATGAGGTATGTACTCGTTTGCTTACTCCTGCTGCTCCATTAGCCAGATGTACTCTCTATATAAACGCAGGCTCACAAAAGCTTTTCTTTACAGTTTCTTGGATTCTTTAATGCTTCCATCCAGCATTTCTTGTAACTTCACCTTTCTGAGTAAGTATGGTACTTTCTATTTGGAATTATGAACATTCCTTTTTGATACAAGGAGTATTTTGTTGGATGATGATCTGTAGTCAAACTGACAAATGACAACAGTTCTCCCTTTTCGTGTGTGTACAACAGAAAAATGACATCAGTTAATGCCTAAGGAAACCCCATTCATCTCAGAAGGCAAAACTGCAATCCCTAGAAGGAATATTAAGGCAACTAATGTCCTTTATGACAGGCACGAAGCAAAGCAAGGAATGCATGGGCTGTGCACGCCGTTGTACCTGATGTATGGAGGGTAAAATTATCCCTGGGGTGTGGATAGGAGAGAGTGAATTGCATGACACTGGTCACACCTTAGTGCAATCCTGAAAGGTGCTGAGGGAAACAGAGGAGAATACAGCTGGAACAGAGATGATGTTCTAGAAAGTAGGCAGGAGTCCACCAGATCAGCATTCACATGGGGTAACCAGAAACCATCCTTTAAGTGCTCCGAAGTAACAACAATCATGATTTTCTGACTGATATACTGCATAAGCTTCCATGGAAATCTTCAGTTTCCCTGACTGACTGTTACTTTTCTTAAATTAGTCCTTTTAAAACAAGTTCCAAATGCTTTATAGTAACTTGCAACATGCAATTACTCTAATCTTTATAGTAATACTTCAATTTATTTGACAGAGTATGTTTTGTGTTAAACTAAATACTTAGTAACAGGATTTTAATTAGCCAATACATCATACTACCATGTGGGATTCTTTAATAAACTGACCAGACGCAAGGCAACATTGATCTTGCATGTAAGAAGTCTGCAAAATCCCTTGTAGGGTCCGGAGCAAAGCAGGCCCTAGTAAGCAGCTATATAGGTTACATATAAACTTGATAGCCAGCCTCTCAGCTAAGTGCACCTTTGTCACTAAGGAAAGTGTTTCAAACTCCCCTTTATCTCAAATTAAACAGAACGCTATTGCTACATCGTTCTATCTTTTGTGGCTTTAGAGTACTTAACTATAAACTTCTTGTCATGAAGCTAGGACAAAAAACGCTTTGCAGAGTTACAAGTTTTTGCTCTTGGAGCTGGGAGGGTGTGGAGGGCAAGCAGGCATTCCCCTTTTGTCTGGGAATGGCCATGAAACAAAGAACTGTACTAGAAAAAGAAACCAAGCCATGAGATGCTTGTGCTCTATCTCCTAGATCCCTCGTTCACCTTCTAGTGGCCTGTCTGCCACCAGTATGCACAAAAATGCTCCCCTGGGTGTCCTGAAAAACCAGACAGCCACCTGCAAAGGACATTTCTGCCTTCCTTCAGTGGTCATTTAAACTGTTGTTCTGTTGTCTAACACAACAGCTTCCACTCTGTGAGACTGAGGAAATTTGCTCCAGTAGAGAAGTGGGAGATATAAATGTAAATGCTTTAATAGTGGTCTTGTCTTATAATCTGTTTTGCAAAATGATATGAAAAGTAACAGGGTCTTTGGCTCAGGAAGTCTTCCACAGCACTGAATAGGCTGTTGAATCTTTCATGTACACTCAGATACAGGGTTAGGTGTACTTACATCATGCTCAGGTCTGTTACAGAGACAATGTATTTCCCATAATCATTCCGGTAGCAACAACATATCAATATTAACTTTTCTTTACCTTGAAGTCGTTCATCAGTTATTATTTTGTTAGTCTGATTCCACGTACTGTCAATAAATATTATCTTCTTCAGGCTGGTGCCTTCATTCCTGTTGCTTGAGACACATTCGTTTAGATTTGTTTCTTCTTTAGGTTCTATTTTTGCCTGCTTAAGAAACGGCTCTCCGGAGCAGTCATCGTGATTACCACAAACACCCTTCTTACTGTATTTCTGGAGATGGGAAGCAATATCTTTTACTGCCACCGAATTGGGGCCAGGAAAGATAAGTGCTATCTAAATGAAGAAGAGAAAGAAATCTGAGTGTCAACAAAATCTAACAGAACACCAGGAATTGTTTCAATAATGCACAGACATTTTCTATCCCCACCCACAAGCATTTAAGTCAGGACAAGGTGAGTATCTCTTAGAAATATTCTATTGTCTAAAATGTTAAAGTAAAAAATAAAGATACTTGGACATCTTTAAATGTCACCTTTATGCCTTTACTATGAACACTAATATTTCTGTAAAAAAATGGGTTTTCAGCCAAGACAATGGCATCAGTCCTAAGAAAGTTCCAGTTTCACTTGCCATTGCAGTATATGGGAAAGGAAGGCCATAGTTTCCAAATCTGATCTAAAATTTGTGATTAAAGAAATAATCTCTTCTGCCCTTGTGTCTATTGCAGGTCCCACAGGTATCTCACATGAAGAAGACTGTGATGGCCTTACTTAGTACTTTCCAGTAGCTTACTGCAGCATTCAGAATCTGGGACTTGGAAAGCTTGGACAATACAAGGTATCTGCAATCTCTTCCCACTTTTGCCTGCCATCCCTGCTGTTCTTTCTGCTTTTTTCCAGCTGTCTGCCTCTTTGCCACCTAGGCTTTCTTTGATGGCTTATTCCTCAAAAAAAGTAACAGCTCTAGGAGATATATGTGTTACCCTCTCCATGTAGTCAAACAACAGTGAAAAGTGTTAGCTATGGCATCAAATGGGTAGATATTAAACTGCTCTTTAACTTCCTGTAAGTTGAATACTTTCATATGTTTGGGCGAAATATTTCTTAAGGTACACAATTAATCAAAGTAACCATTATCTCTGGAGGTGAAGATAGGAAATTCAAGGTGGGTTGTTAGTGCAGCAGTTTTTGTAAGCTTTGGAGGACAGCCCATAACCAGCATACAGCTGTAGGCCCAAGCTTTGAGAGAGCAGAAGGCTAGGGGACTGGGTTAATAGAAGGGTGCTTTCGGCCCGCTCCTTCCCAGCAAAGTCCCACATCACTGCAGGACGAAGAACAGAAGCAGCCTCTGCATTCCCTCTGCACAGAGCCCTGCTATCTATATAGAATTTCTTACTTCATGTCTTTTTTCTTCATACTCTGGAATGCAAGGGTATTTATAAATTGTAACATCGTCAGGTGCCAGGAGCTTAGCGTGCACAGCAGTGCTTTTGCCATCCGTTTCATTCGGGTGTTTAATAATGTCAATCTTCAAAGGTAGCTACAGTAAGAAAGAAAAAGAAAAGCAGTATTTATGATCATATATACAGCTACAAAAATTCATGTAAATCCAGGAGAAATCCCTATGGGTAGGTAATTAAGACATATTGAACAACTGCTGACAATGTTTTTGTTTTAATAGGTTTACAACCAAACTACGGAGAAGTGACGAGAAGCACATGTTACGTTCTCTCAGTTCATGGAAATACCTAAGTCTGCAATTTGGAATGCTGCAGCAGTAGTGTGGTACAACGTCTAGAAAGAGCATCAATAAGGTAAGTAAGACACAATCTTAATTTGAGCAATATAATGGCCCTAACTAGGAATACTTGTCTATTAGGTATTTACCCTATTGCAAAAATGGCTATTTCAGTGAAAATACACCTAAATCCACTGGTCACGCTTCCAAAGTACATCTGAAGCATTTTCACAATGCTGTCAAACTAGAGTGTCTTCAAAATGCATTTCAGTTCCTAGGTGATTCTGCAAAATGTCCCCTTTGATGGTTTCTCCAAGTATTCTAGCTAAAGGGCCCTACACTTTTTATTCTTTATTATTTATATTTGTGAGAATTGTTATCTGAATTATACAACCATGACATTTAGGAATGCTTTTTATCTCACATTTATGTAAAACTGTCTTGGTTATGCAGCAATCATGGGTTTTGTTCACAATATACTCTGTTCTGGCTAGAGTTACTAGAAATTGAAGAATGAAGGTACGAGCACTGTCCAGACACTTCTCAGCATTAAGTGAAAACACAGTCATTTTCATGAGAAGCTCAATGACTTCAGCTTCATCATAAATGAATATGAGATACATAAATGTTTATGTGAGGACTGTAACACTCTCAGTGTCTGTACACGTAATCCCTCAAATAAGAACAGTAATTTTATCTAACTGTAGTTTATTGATACTTATAGCTGTACTAAAGATGAATGTCCATAAAGAATGAATCAGAAAAGAAACGGTCACAGATAGACTGTCTGTTCTTTGTCCCCAGTAAGTAAAAGGCACAAGAATATTATAAAAACTCCAGCATAAGAAATATTAACCTTCACAGTCGGAATTTCTTTGGTAGGGACGGTTTCAACCGGAACAAAGCATGTATAACAATAAAACATCCTTGAGCTGCTGCATCGGGGGCATTTTGATCTCCCGCTCCTTTTCGCCTTTTCCAGTACTTCCTGTGATGCTAACTGCAATTGCTGAAGTGGGTTATCTTGAAACGAGGCTGGAGTCTGCAATTCCAGACCTTCCAAACATTCAGTATTTCCTTTTGGTCCTTGAGAGTTTTCGTCATGTAAAAGTGCAGGTGAATTTAAAGACATGGTTCACTGAAACAGAACATACGTTGTACCTGTTAAAATCCAATATACTATGGACTATCTGCTGGAAATGATTATGTATGATCCTACGTAGCAAAAAATATTCCTCAAAGAAGGTATTTTCAATAACAGAATAATAAAATCATCTGATGCAGTTGTTAGAGCACCAAGAACTCCAAGCAGATTTCAGAAGAGCATGAGAGGGATAGCTAGAAAGATCTTGAGATCTGTATCCTTAATGCACATATATGCACACTCATCATTTGACTACAATAAGGTATCCTGCTCCCTTGTGCAGAATTCCATTTTTCCTACTGGTAGAATCAGTGTGTAAAAGCTTGTGAAGACAGTGGCAGACACTAACTACCTGGACCAGCAGTTCCATCCGTCTTCAACGTGACTACTGACAACGAATTAAGTGTCCTCAGGCCAGAAATCCGTAACGGAGAAGCTAATTGTACACATTAGCTCTCAATCCTGGCATTTTGGTGTGTGGGCAAACCAAACTCCCTGCATGAAATCCCTGTTGACAGAACTTTGTGAGATAAAAGAAATCTTCTAGGAGCAAAGCTGAAAAATTAGTCTCAAGAGCTAAAACATGGCTTTGGTGCTCCATATATCAGAGATTAAGTGCTGACCCAGTCTAGAGTCACTCTGCAAGGTTATTTAATACCACTGATGGATTTTTCCAGGACAGATGTCTCACCCACTGCAGCTGGCATTAAATTTTCCATGTGAACTCAGAGTGATGTATCAGAAACTGACTGTATGACCAATCCAGGCGGCACTAGCCGAGTGCAGAGGTTCGTAGTCACAGTTTTAGCGTGAAGCCCTTCCCACCACATCACTCAGGCTCCTCTCTGGTCCCCAGAGCAGCCCACAGTCAGGAGCCTGCGCAGCCTGCAGTAGTCGTAAACCGCCTTTTGCACTCTGCTGCATCACTTAAAATGAAAAAAGCCATTCTTAGTATTTACTTTCAACTAATTTAGGTTTACTTTTACATGTCAGGGATCACACTTGTGAAGTGATGTAACAGAAGAGTAATCTTTCCCAAAAACAAACACTAATTCTTGAGATGTCATCCAAAATTACGCGTTTAAATAAAACTGAATGCAATTTAATTGCAAAATAACAAAACCAAAACACTTGGCTACCTTTCCAATAAGAATTTTAAATTAATCCCAGAAAAATTAGTTGTTATTTTCTGGTAAAATTAAATACTCCTGCATGCTCTGATACCTTCCCCTCCCCTGCTGCCGAGCTCTAACTTTGGAAAGGTCAGGATATCCAGTCAAATAAACACAAAATCTATTAGGCACACAAATGCTATAGTGCAATTTGCTTCTAAATCTCCGACATAAAGCAAGCACACCCCGCATCTCCGACTATCCCCTACCCTTACCAAGTTTCCTCCAGAAGCAAAGAGGGTGAGAGGCCCTGTAA